CGATCCCAATACGAAGTTCGCGAACATCAGGGATATCCATCGGGCTCAAATCGAAGCGGGTGAAAAGGAGGTTATCACGGCTGAATCCAGCGACTCTGAATGCCCTAGTGAGGCTGGCAGCTGTATTGTAGTGGGTGTGGTTGAGGATCAATAGTTAATAGTAATGAGGAGGTTGGGTTGTGATCCCATCGTTTTTGTGGTGCCAGAAACAGGGGGGTGCCAGGAAGTGGGTATGTTGACTTACCTTTTCGCTTATGTTTCAATCTTAGTTCTAAGAGCGAAGGTTCACGAACCATCAATGACCGATGCCGGATATCTACCCTGGCGTTTCGACTTTGCACTCATCACGACATGATAGCCAATATGGCGATATGTGTTCTCATCCAATCCTAGTTGAAGATTGAAGGCCTGTCATTCTTCATTGATCCTGGATGATAACTGCGGCAACAACATCTCTCGGACTATGCCCGATTTCCGGGTAACATTTCCCCGTCTTGTTTTATCATTCAAGCACGTCTTGATCGAACTTGCCTGGCAGATGATAATCTGGGGTAGTATTCGGGAATGTCTGGTAAGATCGTTGGCTGATGATGACGAGCACGTTGTTGGGGTTCCCGAGCACGCCATGGCCGATCATGTGTCGACCCCGCGTGGGTGTCAGTAAGCCATCAAGCATGGAATCCTGCGATGGACTTCTATAAGGTGCTGAGAGAAGATTTGATTGAGTCCAAACAGCAGCATCCCGATTCTATATCTCGCTTTGTTCCGTTTAAACCGGCAATACACACCATGGCTCCCTCTGCAGTATCACCACCACCCTCCAATACCGATAAGCTGCTGGTCAAGCCCTGGTCCCGGCCGCAGCCAACAAGAGAAGATCTAGACTGGGCGCCTCTCACCACTATTGATCTCTCACGTTTCGATGAGCCGGGGGGCAAGCAGGAACTAGCGAAACAACTCTACGATGCCATCTCGCGAGTTGGGTTCTGGGTTGTGACTGGCACCGGCATCGACGATGAGCGAGTCCTGCGTCAATTCAGCATTGGAAACACGTTCTTCAGAGAGCCACTCGAAGAAAAGCGGACTTATCCATGCAACTTTGCGGAAGGCGAGTACTTTGGATACAGGGAGAACGAGAGATGGCTTGGTGATACGGGTGTGAAGGAGAACATTGAGATGGTAAGGCGCCGGTTTGTTGCTTCCTAAGGTATTGGAATAGTAATGTCTAATGAAGGCTTAGCTCAATATCCACAAGGACATCCCAGCGTGGAAAGACGTCGGTCGTCATCGGGTTGTTGAAGAGAACTGGGATGAGATTCGAGACTTCCACCGCGACGTCTGGGAAGTTGCACGAAAGCTCTTCGTTCTCATCGCTATTATCTTGGAGCTCCCAGAAAATTATCTCGCTGATGCGCATGCCTATGATCAAGTATCGGATGATCATTTGCGGTACATGATCTACAACGTCCGGACTGAAGAGGAATGGGACAAAGCGCAAGCCTTCTCAACGGGCGGTCATACAGATTTTGGCAGCTTGACCCTCCTGTTTTCTCAACATGTTGCTGGTCTGCAAATCAGGACACCAGAAGGGGACTGGAAGTATTTGAAGCCCGTGGAGGGTGGTATTACGTGCAACGCGGCAGACACCTTGACGTTCCTCACAAACGGTAAGTGGTGTTCTTGATCCATCAGCGTTGAGATTGACTCTGACCTCGAGCAGGATTTATCAAGTCAACGATTCATCGAGTAGTCAAGCCTCCCAAAGACCAAATCAATATTCCTCGGCTGGGACTTCTATACTTTAGTCGACCTGGGGACCACACACCGATGAGAACGTTGCCATCACCCCTCCTGGATCGTCTTGGCTTGATCAGAGAGGAAGACCGAGACCTGAGCAGGCCAGTTCCATCAGGGACAGAGTACGTGCGGGCAAGAGTGAAGGATGTGCATCACAAGAAGGTGCTTGATAAGCGCGAAGGGACATCATTCCAGTTCAAGGGGCTGGAAGTCAAGAATCATTATGAATGAGATGAATGTAAATCCATCTGTACACAATTGCATTCCAAGAGAGCTCATCAAGAACTTTCCGGTTCAACAACTCACTGTTTTTTTTTTTTTTTCATTTTATTCAATTCGTCGACATAAAGTGGCATGGAAATTTCCTCCAACTGTGTGTCGTTGCCCTTCAAAGAAGGCACTGGACACTTCGCCTCGGCTTGACAACATCAGTGTCTACTTCGTAATGTGATACACCAAAGGAAAGAACATAAGGTCAATGACCCCAGCTTCTCTACTGACACAAAGCTAAGTATCAAATTGAAAATCTGCTGTACCCAGAAGCAGCTAGTTGCACCTCAGCTGAGGGAACCCTACCAATCAAAGCCAGTAGTCGGGATGACAGGTGTCCGCCACGACCAAGGGTACTGCGGACCACAACGCGCCCATTCAAGGCAATCAATAGGCATCAAAAAGAGGGGTATTATGAAGACTGAGATGTTCCAAAGACGGCCACGGCGCCGAAATCATCCAAGCATCAACCTCAACTCCACCGTGCGTAATGCCGAATTTCGACGATGACTGCGCCTGGCCGCGCCGGCTACTGCATGTACCTTCGATGACATCAATGCAGTGGGCGCCTGGCAATCATTACGGAAACGACCGCACCCCCAAGTACATCGCTATTTCGTACACCTGGGGTAGATGGCGATTGAAGAGTGCGACACAACATCCAGATGTGAAAGGACTCCCAGTCAAAGGCGTTACCTGGGAAATGCCACGAGTAGACCCAGATCATTTTACGATGGGAGAAATGGAGAATCTGCTGAGATCAGCTTTGAAGCTCTCAGTGGAGGTCAGAGGCAAGTCAAAATATACAAAAGGATAAACCTTAACGCCGTGTGAACGCTTCGCTGACGATAAGTAGCTTTCGATAATCCTGGCGAACCGGTCCCTCAAATCCACTACGTCTGGCTGGACGTGGCCTGCATTGACCAGACGCGGGGATCGGCAGAAATGTCCTTGGAGGTTGGCCGTCAAGCAAAAATCTTCAAGGGAGCCACGCACACGTTTGCATGGTTGACGAAGCTTTCCCGTCAGGGATACTTGTCACAGACTGAAAAGCTTCAACAGCAGGCCAAGTCATCACGAGCTAAGGCAAAGAGTGGCATTGAGCGCGTTCAACGCGGTTTAGACGGCACTAGGCAAGAGATCGAACTTCTGAGCCTGGGCCCATGGTTCTCGTCTCTCTGGACGCTGCAAGAAGCCTATCTCTGTCCTCGAACGGTGTTTATTTCCAGACAGGGAGAGCTCATGAGCCCGTCTGAGATTGACAACCCTGCCGAACGTCCCATGTTGCTGAGCGACTTCATCGACTACTGCGACCACATGATGACCATAGTGACCTCACACGAGAAAAAGCCGCAGACCATCGAGACGAACGACAAGTACCTGCTAGCACTTAAGCGCTCAATCGAGCGCAGCGGTATGACCGGCCTCCGATCAAGTCTTCCAGTCACCTTACTTGGGGCTGCTCGCCATAGAACCACGACTCGCGCAACGGATCGTGTGTATGGGATCATGCAGATATTTGGGTTTCAGTTGGGAAAATCGAGACCGGGCTGTGACCCGCACGTCGAATTCTCACTTGCAGAACTGGAGGATGAGCTCGGTCGAGAGCTGCTCACCCAGGAACCTATTATGAGCCAGATGCATATCTTTGAGATTCCTCCCCAGCCTGGGAAGATATGGAGAATCTCTCAAGACTCTCAACCTACAAGGCGTCTAAATTATGGCGACGGCAAGTCAGTCTTTGATGCCATGTCGGTAAAGGCAAAGCTCTCGACCGTCACTCTCGAAGGGGTTAACTGGGGTCACTTCAGGGGCAAGATCTGCAAATTTGGCAAGCTGGTCGAAATTTGGAATACCAAAGCGGGATGGACCGGCGGAAACATTGACCTGGATGGCCCAGAACAATGGACCGCTGTCCATAGCCCTGAACTTGCGCGCAAAGAAGCGATTGCTTTTAGTCAACAGCACCCAGACGCAGTTCTCTTACTTCTGGGCCTCGCAGAGATTAAAGCACCTCCCAACGACTGGAGCATGCCAGTAGGTCTCTTGCTTGTTCCCTTCAGTGGCCAGTCCGGGATCTCGGAAACTTTGGATGTTTGGCTACGAGCTGGTATCTGTCAATGGTGGACAAGCACCGATCCGAATCACAGTCCTGAAGTAGTGAGAACCTTGCAAGGTGAATCGGAAGAATGGACTTCAAGTGCTGGCGCTTTTGGATGATCGGAGATGAGAGAAGAGGTTGCAATTTCAGTGACCAAAAGAGTTCGAGTCTTTGGTTCTCTCAAGGTGCCTTCATGCATGACTGAATTCCTATTAGAAATGGAAGTTTTCATGCGCATATGCCGTCCATGTACAAATGTTTGAATGCATTTACAACTTCTTTCGTTTGGAAGTATATGCAAAGCCGAAGAAACAAGTCATCGACAGCTACAATTTGAATGGTGAACCGCTACTCAGCCTTCTGTGCCGGGATATTGAGAGTGCTGAAATTCCAAGTCTTGCCGCCGTCGGGAGATGACATGTCGCCGCCAGTAGCCCCATGTTCCCAGCCCCCGGTGTGCCCAAAGCTTTCATCAGCTTGGGTAAGGACAATAGAGACATCTTCCCAGCCTATTTCATCGTCAGTTGTCAAACTTCTTGCGGAAGGTTTGATTTACTTACTATGCGCAGGGTGCTCGGCGCAGCCACCAGACGCGCACTCGATAGAAATATAAAAGATGTTTCCTTTCTGTCCCTTGCCTTCAAAGACTCTGTCAGTTTTGTTACAACCAACAATAGACAGCAAGTGAAAATGCACTTACTAGTTGAGACGGAGGAAGCGAGTTTGTTATCAATGTAGACATCTTGGTCCCAGAGATTCGTTGCCGAGTTCAACTTGTCTGCCGATTTCTTCAGTCACCACATCACCTAGCTACCAACTGGACTAACTTACAGTGCGTCCTGATTGTGGACCCAGGAGAGGCAGTGACAGGGTCACCAACGGTCGGATTTGAGCCTGTTGTGGTGCCATGTCAGACGGGGTCTTTGGGTGTTTCAACTCGATTCTTGCAGGCCGAGTCACTTACCGACCAGGGTGTACGCAAAGTTGCACCAACTCTTTCCTGCGTCGTTACAGTATGATCTTTGCAACACGATTAGTCAATTATCTTGAGAAGACTTAAAGGCAGCCCATCTTTCTTCTTACCCACTAGGAGAGTTAGAGGTTACGCCTTGCAGGAACGATGCCTGGTTCTCCATCATGATGGCACTCCATATGGCGACGTCTCCTGAGACAGAGCTAGGTAGCTTGGGAAGAACGAGAGTGGCACTGGCCTCCTGGATGTAAGCTGCGCCATTGGTGAAGAGGGAAACGATGTCGGAGTTCGCCTGGGTTAGACCCAGAAGTGTCGCGAGGACGCCTCCAATAGCTGTGTTGGTGCCCTTCATAATTAGTGATTGAGCTTAAATGAATACCAGAAAGGTTCAAAGGTAAATGCTGTTTCGTCTCTGCGCAATGTACTAGACGAGAAATGGTAGTAGGGTAGAGTCCAACAGCTTTATAGAAACGAAGCTGAGTCCCCTGAGAGACGATGAACCCCTGAGAGCCGGCCGGGGGCTGGCACATGATGTTGGGACGAACATATTCAGATGAAAAGTTCTATTCGGAACTACATCTAGGATGGTTCGCCTAGCAGTCTCCTGGAGCATGGACCATATGTCTCCGAAGGGCGTTGTTTCCAAAGTCCTTTTGAGAGTGACATTGTAATTATTCCGTCCGATATATGACCTTAGGTGGGGTTGGAAGACAAAGATTAATCTATGCATATCGTTAGCGCGTTTCTCAGATTGAGTGCAATGATGCCGGGACCCGAGTAGCCCGCTTTTCTTACACCATTAATTATTCCTGCACGCACTTTAATCCTCTTCCCGAAAAGTTCAGAGGCAAGTCTCGCCGACGCACCAGTTTCAGCTACTGAGGCTCGGCTTACATTGAAAACCCTACGGCGGAACACCACTACCTTCTCACTCTCTTGTTCTTGCTTATTCTTAAGCGCTATGATAAAACTGGGTTACCATTCAGAGCGGTGATCCTGACAAAGTTCAAAAGTCAGATGTTGTCGCTTCTCCCTGGCCATGTAGCGTCGAGGTCAAGTAGGTTCCAGTCAGCTTTCAATTTGATGTCGCCATCCATCAAGGCGGATTCCCCTGATTGATTAGCAAGCAACCCAGACGATTCTGTGAGCATCAAGGCTTCCATATGAGACGCCTCGTCTTGTTGCGCAAGATAGTGCAAGGCGTTTTGCGCCGGTGGCTGGCAACGACCTGCGATACATACGAATCATGTTGTGCCAAAATATATCAGAGTGACTGAAGACCCTGGATGAAATTCAGCGCTAGGAGCGAGATTGAGATGTTACTGGCCGAAGATTTCCAGCTCGTCGCGCTATGTCCGTTAGTCGCATGCAAGTTCCCGGCTGGGCGCGCCATCGGACAACGCTTGGGATGCCTCATGGTTCGCCTAAATAACTGGAGGGGCACATAAATCCCCAACAATTGGCACAAATGAAACATTCGGCAATCTTGCGCAACAAGATACCCCTCTGTGACGTTGATACAATGGTCGAGGCGGTAGTCAATCCTCTCCCGGTTCTGCTGGGTTGGGATAGCGCCAAATCATGCTTTCGCACCAGCGCCCATGAAAGCGATGTTGAGGCAAATCGCCAATCTTTTCCCTTTCTTTACGATGACTTAGACCAGCCTGAAATCCTCAAAACCTCCACGGAGGCTCTGCAGCGTAGTGCCAAAGTAGCTATTCGGCAATACTACCAGTTGGAGTACGAGGTTGACCCCCTCTCCTCGTTGAAGCTCTTGGGTCACTGGAATGAACCTTGGTTTACGCCAGGGGTAAACTCCGCTTTTGTAGTCCTCGCAGCACACAGCCCTGAGCTTGTAGTTCGACTTCATGTTCTGCTCAAAGAGCTTACGACTTTGAAGGACGTTGACGAGAACTTTCCAAAATTCGAGATGTATAGCTCATACCCGAACGGGAATCAAGCACTGGGCCTACTGCAGGGGCAGACGCTGCTCACTTATCCCAACAGAGGGGTCTGGAACAAGGTGTTTGGGGCCTGGAGAAATGGCACACTCTCTGAGCTACGCGATAGGGTTGCAGCGTTTGAGTCGGCGCTTCAATGGCCGCGAGAGAGCTGGACGGTGCTCCAAAGCTTGATCGAAAGTCTCCAAAAAGAAGTTTCCCTTGGAGTCATGGAGAAGCTGCGCGTGAGCGTCGATGCGACATTTGACTTCTTTGATGGCAATGTCCAGGGGTGCCGGAATGCCATTACGACCTTGGAAGAAGAGGAGCAAGGTAAGTGATGGAACATGATATTCGAAGCTCATGTTGTTTCCTTTGGACATACCTGGGACCTCCCAAGCTAACTGAGCATACAGCAAAACTCTCACTCGTACCCGAACCGGGAATATTCAAGACTCCTTCCATGTCTTCGGCTATTGAGGTCGTTTCGATTGACATGAACGAACTTCGGCCACGGACAGGACAGTCAAAAGGGCCCGGCCCAAAGAAGCTGCAAAAGAGACCCCCTCAGATGAGAAGTGGAGGCAAAACTGTGGCATTAAGGAATCGATCGAACCTGAAGGAGCCCAAGCTCTGGCGCACTCTCTGCCTTTCTCTCGTTACTTGGCTTGTGGTGGTGTCACTGCCATTCACAGTGCTGTCAACATTCCTATGCGAGGCCCCAGACGGCGTTCCTATGTACGACAGCAACTTCCACTCAACACTGAGCCAACAACTATTAGGGTTCGGCGGGCTCTATGCCATTGTCAAGCCTCAGCTGATGCAATGGTTCTCTGCACTCGGTTGGTTTAAGAAAGAAGGAAAGAAGCCTCCCAAAGGGATAGAGACGAAGTGGCCCATCACTTTCAACTGTTTGGTCAGCCTGGCCTTCGTCACTCTATTGGCTAGCGCGCCCGTCTATCCGTATTATCCCCAGTCTAGTATCCCGCTCGGGGCTGTCGCGGCGATCTGCGCCAATCTTGCGACATTACTCATTATTGAAGATACTGGGAGCCAGATTGTGGAGCAGGTGTACAAGATTGAAGAGCAGTATGATGAGATCTCAGAACTGAATCATGAGCTTCAGGATCTGCGCGGAAGAGCCTGAAGAGTAATTTGGGCGAAAGTTTAGGCGAGGTAGCGGCAGGCCTGAGTTACTCATTGGATCGAATTCTGGTCAAGTGCGAATACCTAGATACCTTAGATCCTGAAATTGACGATATGGTGCATCTGCGGCTTTGAATGTTGGCCCCTTCATCCTCTCTGCCACACGATTCACCACCCTCGCTAGCTTCCATGTTGAGGTGCACCGCATGCAACACCCCATCCTCTCTAATTGCCTAAAGTTATGCAAGTCCCACAATGACAATGCGAATGAAACTTCTTGCCACACTGATTTTCACGTCAATCCGCAGTGCTGAACCATTTGAAAATGATGGCGGAACTAGCTCTAAGCTCTCCTGGCCAACTTTTCCCATTCCGCAGTTCCGCCCTTGACTTACTTAGGGAGCAGAACCCCGAGCGAGAATAATGAACCAATCAGTGGTCTCAATTCCATAGCTTTCTCATACGATGCCAATAGCCGTTCCCCGCAGTCGGCTTGCCGCTGGGATCCTTCTTCCCCGCAGGAACCTCCCGGGTGGCTGCAGCTCGCCTCCTCGTCCGAGCCCATCCTCGTCGGCATAGGAAGGCTAGGAGCGGTTCTCCTACGCCTTTCGCGTGTCAAGCAGCCCCCTCGAGCAAGCGGAATTGCCATGCTTACACGCGTGTGATGTATTAGCCACAAGATCAGTGAAATAAGACCGAGCCCGAGTCCAGACGTGTTGATGGACTGGCCTTCTTCCACCTTGAAGCTCCCCAGTGAATCTCAAGATACCAACTATCAGTACCTGACGTGTTATTCAACATTAAACCATCAAGATGTCCGAAGCAGACTACATCCTCTACTCCTACTTCCGCTCCTCCTGCTCAGCCCGCCTCCGCATCGCCCTGAACCTCAAGTCCATCCCCTACACCACAGTCCCAACCAACCTCCTCAAAGACGAACACCTCTCCCCAACCCACCGCGCCCTCAACCCGTCCGCCAGCGTGCCCCTCCTCGTCAACAGGTCTGACGCAGACTTCAAAGTAACTCAATCCGTCGCGGCCCTCGAGTACCTCGAAGAAGCCCACCCCTCGACCACGCCCCTCCTCCCCAAGGACGCAAAGACGCGCGCCGTGGTCCGGAGCCTGGTCAACATTGTCGCCTGCGACATCCAGCCCGTGACGAATATGCGGATCATGAGGCGGATCAGGGCCATGGGCGGAAATGCGGAACAGTGGAACCGCGAGTTGATGGCGGATGGGTTTGCGGCGTATGAAGCTGTTGCGAAGGAGTGGGCGGGGAGGTGCTCTGTTGGTGATGAGATTTCGTTGGCGGATGTGTGTTTGTTGCCTGCGTATTGGAATGCCGAGAGGTTTGGGGTTGATTTGAGCCCGTATCCGACTGTGAGGAGGATTGCGGAGGGGTTGAAGGAGAATCCGGCTGTTGTGAAGGCGCATTACTTTAACCAGCCTGATACTCCTGATGAATTGAGGGCGAAATAAGCTGTAATCATAGGTCAATTGAAGTTAATAAGCAATTGCAGCCAAATTTGCCTCGCCCATCTCATGATCAATCAGTGACCAAGATGACCAGATATGTCACGGAATGAAACTCGCATGCTATGTGCACAAAATGAAGGACTTTTCATTATTTCATGCTCATTCTATCTCTCGATCACGATTGTCGCGATCAGAAGAGCTTCAGCGCAGCCTCAATCTTGCCCGAAACCTCACCAAATCCAACCAACGCGCCTTCCTGACCACTCCAGCCGCGGATGATGAGGGTATCGCCATCCTGTAGGAACTTGCGCTCCTCGCCTCCGGTCAATTGCACGGCCTGCTTGCCCCCCTGCGTCTGCTCGAGGATACTTCCCTCGGTGCCGGGCTCTGTGCCAGAAATCGTGCCAGATCCCAGCAGATCGCCCGGTCGCAGGTTGCAGCCGGTGATTGTGTGGTGGGCAATCATCTGCGGCCAGGACCAGAGCAGGTTCTTTGAGTTGGTGCGGCTGATTGTGGTCTTGTTTCCGCTGGCAGCTGGAGAAGTGACACATGTTAGCATCTTCAATCAGGGAAGGGTTCATGGGATCAGAATGGGAACGTACTGATAATGTCAACTTCCAGGTCGACGCCTAGAACGTTGTTCTTCTTGCTCTCGCGCAAGTAGGGCTGCAACTCCGTCTTGTTCTCGATACCAGCCGTCTTGGCTCCGTCCAACGCATCCGCAAGAACAACCCACGGGCTGATACTCGTGCCCAGGTTCTTTGAGGTAAAGGGTCCCAGAGGAACATACTCCCACGCCTGGATGTCGCGAGCGCTCCAATCATTCATGAGAACGTAGCCAAAGATGTGCTCCTCGGCCTGGTCGACGGGTACCGGCTCACCAAGCTTATTCTCCCGGCAGAGGAACATGCCCATCTCCAGCTCAATATCGAGCCTCTGGCACGGCGCGAGCGTCGGCACCTTGGGCTCGGCCTTGGGGTCCTTGAGGATCTGGCCCCACGGTCTGCGAATGGGCGTGCCGGAGACGACGACGCTGCTCGCGCGACCATGGTACGCAACTGGGAGATGCACGTAGTTTGGCTGCAGCGCATTATCCGGGCCGCGGAAGAGCACGCCGACGTTATAAGCGTGGTTCTTGCCGGCGTAGAAATCGGTGTAGTCGCCAATGGCGAGGGGCAGGTGGTTCTGGATCTCGGAGAAGGGGACCAGGGCCGTCTTGCGCAGGTCGGCGTTGTCTTTGAGGAGGCCTGCGTGCGGGGTGTTTTCTGCGAGGACGGACTGCAGATATGTGCGGACTTCTCTGTGGACTTTGCGGCCCAGGGCGGCGAAGTCGTTTAGTGTGGTTGAGGAGAAGACGGAAACGTGGTCTTGAATGGAGGGCAGGGCGTGGAAGCCGCCAGCCTTTGCAAAGGCCTTGAGGTCGAGGGCATGGTCGCCAATGGCGATGGCTGGACGGTGAGTCTGGTCTGAGGTTGTGGAGATGATGCCGAAGGGGATGTTTGCCAGCGAGAAGTGGCTTTTGGGGGATACAGAGACCCAAGATTGCGTGTTTGACATGATGGCGTTGTTTGTGTGTTTGGAGAGTGTTTGTTCAAGGTATTGGTAATGAACAATGCCTCAATAGACAATAAGAAGAAGCTGTCTCTCTATTCTTCAAGAGTTCTAGAGAAGATGAAGCTTCAGGGTCTCAGCGTGAGGTCATTGCTGTTTGGAATTGGGCGATTCCGCAATTCCGCCGCAAGCCGAGCGGGTAGGTGTGGGAACCGGGCCGCCGCGGAATGGAATGGTCGCTGCGGGGTAGCTCGGCGCCGTGGCGGGGAAATTCTTCTGCCCCTCAAAGCCGCGAGTAGGCGACGCATTTCCGCCTTTACAACTCTTTGATATTCACAAGGTTGGTGTAACCCGAGAATCATGTCGCATTATCTCTCGCCGCATCCCGAACGTTGGATGCTACCCAAGTTGAGTTGGGTTGAGTTAATGGCCTTGCCACGGTATTGTCTGACAAACAAAGGTGTCAATACTCTCATCTGCCTCAGAAGTAAAGGTTCTGCTGCGACTTGGACAACTCCTTGGCCTTGCTGAGGCTATCAGACGATGTCCTGTTCACAGGAGTAGAGACCATTGGCGTCATGGCTCGAAGCTGAGGCTCAATGACCGCATCGGAAATTCCCTGGTGGTCTGGCACTGATCCAGGCACCGAGCCAGGATCTCTTGGTGGTGGAGGTGGCGCAAACATGGGATCAGATACCGTCGATATGAGCGACTGCGGACTCGCGGCGGGAAGGTCGATGGTAGGATCAGTATGCTCTGTAGCCTTGGACCGGTACCAGGCTTGAATATCGTCAGGTGTCTGCAACGGGAGGCTATCCCATTCCTTGACACGGTCGACCTTGTTCTGTCTTGGTGTCCATGCGGCTTGGGGTAGGAGAGCAGATGAGGAAGCAGAGTCTAAACCTTGGGTATGATCAAGGGCTCCCAAGAGTACACGGAAGAGAGCAGCTTCAGTCTCGGCCAGTCGTGTTTCAAGTTTGTTGAGGTACCCATTAGGAATTCCTCTGATAGCTTGTCATTAGTATTCATCATGGCTATCTGACTGACTGTATATGGCTGCATACCTTTTGCTTTGCTCTGGGTATTGGCATCGTCCAGGCTCGTGGCTGCATTGGAGACAGAATGGTCTGCGGGGAAGAATATTCAGCCTCAAGACTTGGCCAGACAAGGGTGCCTCTCAGAGTGCCGGGGAGCCACTTACAACTTCCTATCACACTTGAACGGTGTTAGTCAACTGCCGTGGTTAGAGTCGCCTAAGGATACATCGTCGGACTAACCCGTCGTTTCCTCTGGCGACAACTCTCGCAGGCAATGGGACTCTGCAAAGCGCTGCCTTCTCTCTCGCTGCTGTTTCGGGACATTGTGCGATTCCCTCTTCTTTCTGGAAAATTAAACTCGAAGTAGAATTTCGTATTGAAAACCACTATTGCCGTTGTCGTCCTCCCTAGTCCATCGAGCATGGCCGGCGCAAAACTGGTGTTCAAGAACAAAACTCCATGGCCGCTGCGGGGTTTTCTTTCTCCGCCGGTGCCCCACCCACCGGAACGTGCCGTGTCATGGCCCCACCCTCACCGACGTCGCCCCCGACGCGGGCGCGTCAGCCTCTTGCTGGTTTCCTTTCTCGGACAACGATGCTTTTTTCCGTCCTCATAGCCTCGTTTCTCTCAAATCTCGCTCTCGCACAACGTTCCAAAGGCGAATAGTTGGCTGATCTTACCCCAGTCTTGGCACATCTGGCACTTCTGCCATTTTCTCTTCCGCACAACAACGTCCGTTGACCGCCTTCCTCTCCCTTTCCTCTCCTCTCCTCTGTTCCTTCATAGGTTCACTCTCCTTGTACCTCGGCGGACAACTGTCTTGTCTCCCTAGGCAGTCTTTTCTCTCTGCTCTTCTCCACAATCACACCATGCTCCGGGTCCCCACCGTTCCTCAAACCGTCCACTGAAGACGGGCTTTCAATCCCCAGATCTTCACTCACCACCAGGACGGCCATCCCACTCCCTCCGAATGGACGCCGTAGAGTCGCCCAATGCCACCTCCGAGTCGGGAACCCTCAGCCCGGCACACTTCAACCACTCACGCAAGCGGAAACACTCGGGCTCAACAGACCGTCCCACACGCGAGTATGGCTTGATGCGAGACACGGGCAAGCATGACACCGCCCGCTTCGTTGGTTCAGGCAGCGGCATTCACTTTATCCGGGGCGTTTATGTCAGGCTGGCCCGCAAGTCCGCCCTCAGGACATCCCAGTCCACTAACAACATTAGCGACCTCGTCCCCGGAGAAGACGACCAGCTCCAGCGGGAGACCTCATCGCGTGATGGAGACGAGAAAAACCTCTGGCGCAGCTCTGAGTTGATACCAGAACCCGAAGGCGATGACTTCAATCCGACCTTTGAGCAACTCGTCGACTGGTCGAGGAGCTACTTTGAAGCATGGCACCCGACGCTTCCTTTCCTCAGTGCCCCAGATGTACTCAACCTCTTTGAGGAAGTTAGTGCTGGCGGCGTGGCTGCTCTCGGCCATCTCGAGCGCTCGATTGTCAAGTCGATACTATCAATCTCTCTAGCTGACAGTCGCCAAAAGGCTCCCTTTTCTCAGCCAGTCCCATCCTCCCTCGTCTTCCGCACAGTCGAGGAGGCAATGTCGGCGTCACAATTCGCCCTCTACCAACCAGCTTCGATCCAAGCCACACAAGCTGCCCTTGCCATACAACTGTTTCTCGTCTCCATGTTGAGACTGAACTCGGCATCGAGACTAGGCGGTTTGATCGTCAGAATGGCTTTCCACCTAGGCTTGCACCGGTGCCCTTCGAGATACCCCTTCTTCACTAAAGAGGAGGCGCACATGCGCCGACGTGTCTTTTGGTGCATATACTGCACGGAGCGATTCTTATGCCAAGCCCTAGGCCTCCCGCTAGACATCCGGGACGACGACGTCGATGTGTGCTATCCCGGCGAAGAAAAGCACGGAACACTTGCCGACGCCGAAGACAACAGGCTACAGCTGCTCACATACTTGGTCAAGCACGCACGGATACGGGGGCTAATCTTGGAGCTGCGGAATAAATCAATACACTCACGCGACGATACCGCAGACCGATCTAGTTACGTCCAAGCAGAGCTCGCAAAATGGTCAAACGAGATCCACGACGCGGTCGAAGACGAGCACACGCAGGATGAAGCCACGCCACAGCCACCAATATCCGCGGGACACCGAATTTTCTTGCTTCTGCTAAAGTATGAGTCCATGATCTCTCTCAATCGCCCCATGATGACGTCCGACCCGTCGAGCCCGGCGTACTCTGCTGGTCTACAAAACTGCATCTTTGCTGCCAAGTCCATATTCATTGCTTTGAAGAGGCATCATAGTCAGAGTAAGATTCCTGGCGATCCTACGAGCGCGTGTTTGCTTGAACCGTTGCTTCAGCCGTCGTTCACATGGGCTGTATGGATCAGCGCATTCATTCTGATCTACGCTGGTTTTGAACGGCAATTGCCTTTGGCCAGTGCGCTAAAGTAAGTATACCACTCAACTTCCTCACTATGAAGGCAATCTTGAGGGCTAAGTAAACTGGCTTTTGCAGACACGTTGAATCAGGCAAAGAAATTCTGCGCCACATTGCCTCTCGCGACACATCGTGGCCCGAATACTGCCTCTCCGCAGTCGACGAGCTCACCGCAGCTGTAAGAGAACTATCCGTCCCGAACAACCCGCTCAGACGACATCCAAGCACTAGCAACCTAGCACCCAACGCCCATCTTCGAACAGACCTCGGTCAACAGGCTCGACCGAACAGCAGCTCAAGCAGACCCAGAGGCCTACGCTCCGACTCGACAAACACCCATCAGCCAACCGGATCCAGCCTCCGAGCCCGCTTCTCCCCCTCCGTGGCTGCATCCTCAGGCCGACCAGACGAACCGGGCCTCGTGGCGCCAGATAACACAATCTGGTCACAAAATCAAAGCGACGGGCTTTCGGGGCCGACAGATGACCAGTCCGGTCGATGGCCCACGCAGGCCTCGCCGACGTCGGGCCCGTCCGTCAACGCGGGGTGGACGGCGAGCACGCCGGGGGCGCAGTCTGGATTCCAGGCGACTGCGCAGCAGGATTCTCCCAACTTTGACAGCCAGCCGTTTTCGCTTTCGCTAGGCGCCGCTACGTCGTTTCCTGCGATGGGGACTTCGGAGAATGCGCCTGGCGAGGGGCAGGAGTCTATGGTATGGTATGATCAGTTGTTTGCTAACTCTTTTGGGGCGATTGATTATCCGTTCTTGGCGGCGGCGCAGTTTGATCCGTCTGTGGATCCTACGTGGTCGTATTTGCGGTAATGCTTAATGAGGAATACAGAGAGAACTCTGATGGAGGCCAAGGTTGCGTACATGACTACTACGGAGGAGAAGCTGGAGTATCGAACTTCTTTGATCTTTGATACCCATGTTCCTAGTAAATAGAGGCAAGCAGTTTGTCTCTGCAACTCCACATGCGAAATAGCGCCGTTTCCAATAAGTCTTGAATTTTTTGCATGCTGTTTCGGAAACCGCGCAAGGCCACTGGTTTTCAACTCCACGGGTCGCAATATGAATGCAGATTGGTAATTGGTATGATTGCAAGTGAGCCTATGGATCTTCCAAAGAGTTGGACCAAACAGGAACCAAGATCTACGTTGGGCCTACCCTTTGTTGAGGATGAGATCTCCGGCCCAGCGATCTGGTTCACCACTAGTAGCTCTGGGAAAAGATACCGACAGACTGGAACTGACGATTACCGACAACCCGCCAGTTCGGGTCGTGGTCCCACAGGATGCAACGCTCACGAGACAAGCGGGGCGGACTTGTTGATCAACTAGAGAAGTAGTGCATGTTGACGAATGAAGGTTGACACAGAGCATGGGCATAGCCAACACAGTATATGTAGCTACGACGTCTCTCATTCTCATACGAAAATTATATATTCAATACAACCCCTCAACATAATTATATTCCAAGCGGTGTAGTGGTGCAATCTCTCTCCAGCGTGGCCGTATGCTTTCTTCCGGCCTTCAGTAGGCATACTTGGTACCGCTCGCGCCCATCTTCTTGTTCGTAGAGACCAACCAGAACCGCAACGCCCACGTACCAGCAATACAAGCAAATGCAAAAGCGGCATTGCTTGACATAGCCGTGAGGTACCGAGGTCCATCGCTCTTGGGGTACTGCAAGATTATCGTTAGTTCCAATCCTAGCAAAAAGTGACGCGAGAGATTTACGTACCAAGTAAGCAGTGTAAATGTACGACGCATTAGCGATAACATTTACAATAGACAGACTGACAGCCTTCTTCTCCTGCGTAGATCCCAGCGTCGCCGAAACCCAGCCCAGGATGCACGAGTTGACAGCATACGCTCCAGACGCGAAAAGGAAGCAGGAAATGTACCGCGCCGCCGTGTTGAGAGTCGCGCACGAGATGACAAAACCGACAATGGCTATGCCCATACACGCGGTGATGTGCCAGGTACGTTCGTTGTATTTACCAGAGGAAATGCCAACGAGGTAGCCAAAGATGCCGGAGATGAGGTACGGCGGGCAGGTGAGGACGAGGGTGATAGTGTCGTTGAAGCCGAGGGAGCCGACGACGGTTGGGAAGAAGTTGTTGAAGCCGCATGCAGACTAGGATCATTGTCAGAATATGAACATTCGGTGGAGGTCCAGAATTGGACTCACGAGATGCATGTTTTGGATGAAGCAGAGGAGCCAGAGACGAGGGTCGCGAATGGCTTGCATGAAGCCTGCCTTGGCACCCTTGCTCTCTTCAACGCCGACGGTATCCCTGAGCATACGATCGTGAGCGAGCTGACGCTCCTCGGGCTTCAGCCAGCGGGTCGTAAGAGGGCTGTCAGCGAGTGTAAACATGCCAATGACGGCGACGCCAAAGGTCAAGCACGCCTCGATGATGAACAGCCACTGCCATCCCTTCAACCCGTGGTTGCCGTCGATGGTGTTGAAGACGGCTGCGGCGATGAGGCCCGAGAAGGACGTGGCAAAGATATTTCCCGAGTAAAGGATAGACAGACGGGTGGCGATTTCTTTGCGGGTGTAGAAGATGGAGAGCATGTAGATGGCGCCTGGGTAGAAGGGGGCTTCGGTCACGCCGAGGAAGAAGCGGACGATGACAAGGTGGGTGTAGTTCTTTGCCAGGGCGGTGCAGCCCGAAACGAGAGCCCATGCCATCATGCAGATTGCCATGTAGATGGATGGCCGGACGTGTTTCGAGGACATGAGCATGTTGGAGGGGATTTGCATAAGGAGGTAGCTGTAGGTCGTACCATCAGCGTTCTGTTCGGAAAGCTGGAGTTTGGAGGAGTTGAACTTACCCGACGAAG